GCGCAGGAGGGGCAGCCGGGCTCTGGCCCTGGGGCACTGCTGCCATGGAGAGAAGATCTCCTGGCTCGTTTGAAAGCAGTGCTTGAGGTTGCGGTGCAAGCTCTGGAAACAGGAGCGAGCTGCCGTCTCCCTGCGCTGCTCCCGGCCCACTCCGGCCCTGCTTTCCGCAGCCTTCTCCAGGAAGCTCGCCAGCAGCTGAGCCTGGATCAGCGGGGCAAGGTGGAAGCGCTGGACATCGATCGTGTGTGCTTGTCCCTCAGCGTGAACGCTCCCAACATCTCCTTCAAGGTCAACCCAACGCGGGTCCCAGACGGGTAAGGGAAGAGCCAGCCCTTTTCTGGCCAAACCCATGCTGGTGCTTCAAAGAGCTTCGGCATTCTGCTTCCTTCCATGCTCTAGGTTGGCTTTATGGAACCAGGCACTCATAGGAACTGGCTACTGGGGCTTCTTGTGGCTCTTGAACTGTGTTCACAAACCCCCGGGAGACAAGGCCCTTCCTGATCCATTTTTGTAGTGGACTGATTGCTAGTGACACGTATTGCTGCTCTCAAACCTCTCAGGTCTTAGAGCATTCAGTAGCCACCTCTTACAGCAACATCAGGATCAAGTAAACAGGGTGTCTGTTTTGTGCTGCGGAAAATGGGAGAACAGACAGTGAACAAGTTATCTAAATTGTCACCACAAGTCAGTGGCAAAAGCAGAGAACCCAGCTGCTCCTTCTCGCTGTGTTTGGCTATCAGCAGTACTCGGTTAACAATGTGCTATTAATCGTTGGCAGAGCTGCAGAGTTTCCAGTTGTTTGACGTTTCAGAGCATCCTTTACACGTGTCCCTGCTCTGAGCAGATGTTTGGCTCGGTGCAGGAGCTGCAGGGTAGCGATCTCCATCTGCTGCGCTGAGGCCAGCAGGCCGGGTGTGATCTCCGCAGTTTCTGGATCGTTCTGTGTTGCAGAAAGCCTTCCTGGCTGCAGCAGGTGTTTGCTTTTGAACCGTCCTGCAGACACTCCATTTATTTTTATAACTGCTGATTTGTTTACAGATCAACCTCACTTCAGGAGTGGGACGATTACAGTCAGCGCAACAAGGAGCATGCTGAGGCAGAAATGAAAGCCTCAAACGAGCTCCGGGAAGCAATAGCGCTCACCATCGCCCAGGTGAGTTGGTCACTTGGCCGGGTTGGTGGTGCAGTTCTCCCTCATGCAGTGACTGTTTTGCCAATGTCTGGGAGAGAGGCCCCTTCTCAGCATGTGTGACGGGAGCCTGTTCCCTTTACAGACGAACAACGAGCTGGAGGCTCAGCGGGTGGCGACGGAATTTGCGCTGCGCAAGAGGATTCGAGACTTGGAAAAAGCCTACGATGAACTGAAATGGCAGGAGAAGAATGTAATGGCACTTGGGTTATCAGCCATGTCCGCGGTGGGAATCGAATCCAAAGGCTGCGCACTCCCTGTAACGCATTGCTGACCCACGGCCGGGCAGTGCTGAGCGTAGCTCCTCTGCGTAGTTGTCCTTTTTGGCTGGGATTGGGAAGGCCAAGTACCAATCCCCCACGGCCTTCGTGGCGAGCTAGATCCAGGCTTCCTGCCGCTGCTAACCAGCCTGCCCTTATCCCTGTGGCCATAGACCACCCGCAGCTCCAGGCCGGGCCATGGGAAGAGCCTGATCTGTGAGGGGAGAGGATCTGAGCTCTAACGGGACTTGCTAGCCTTGGTTGAGAATTCCCAGTAAAAAACCAGGGTGCCTGGGGCTGTTTCCCAGTGTAGGTGCTAATGGAATAGAGCCAGAATTGACTCTTAGGGTACAAATCTTTATCTTCAGACCTTGGAGGAAATTGCTGAGATGGAAGAGGACATCCGACGTTTGGAAGAAGATCTTCGGAGGAAAATGAAAGACCTGAAACTGGCCCACACTCGCCTGGAGACCCGCACGCAGCGGCCCAACGTGGAGCTGTGTCGGGATCAGGTAGCAGCCTTGCCCTGCACGTTCCCTGCTAGGAGGGGCTGAGGGGGAGCTGAACGGGATGGGCGTTTGGGCGAGTTGGGAAGATTTGGATGCGCTTTGGAGCAAACTCCAGAGGAGCCGAGCGATGGCTTCTGCAGGCACCAGCACGGCCACATAGGGTATTATCCACAGCAAAGCGAGTAGTTGGACTAGGAGGGCAATGAGGGATCCACGGCCCCTGCAAGACACCACTTTACCGCCCTGCTAACTCTTGACCTTCTCCCTCCCCGCGGGGCAGGTCCAGTACGGGCTGACAGATGAGGTTCGGCAGCTGGAAGGAACCATCAGTGCCCTGCAGCAGAAGTTAGCGCAGTCGCAGTAAGTCCCCTGTTCTCTGGGGCAGAGCAGTGACCCAGCACGGTGCACGGGAGGGACGTGGCCATGTGCAGCCCTGAGCCTGGAGCGCTTCCAGAGCCACGCTTGGAAGGTCGTGTTTGCTCAGATGAGGAGCCGTCTCTGTCCTTGGGTGCCGTGGGGGCTGGACCGGTCCGCAGGGCTTTGGGAAAGGCCTGGCAGGGTAAAGGGGGGTTCTGTGCGCAGTCGGACCTTGACCAGGCTGCACAGGTGGCCTTGGAAGAGAAAGAATGTGCGAAAAGCAAAGGCAGAAACAGCAGCGGTGCCGTGGGCGGACACGGGGCTCGCTGCCCACAGCCCACGCAGTGCGACTGCTGCGCGCCCGCCGAACGCAGTGCTTGACCCGGCCTCTCGCTTGTGCTTGTGCGCAGGGGTGCCTTGGACGCGCTTTACAAACATCTCTACCGCATCCAGACGGACATTGGCTACAAAGCTAATTCCCTGGTGCTGGACAACAAGTGCCTGGACACCCGGAGAAAGCTCACGGTTCCCGCCGAGAAGTTTGTGCCAGAGCTTGACACCTTCAACCGGACCACGAACCGCGCGCTGCCCGCGCTCCAGAGCAGGCAGCTGCAGTTGGCCTAGCGCGCCGTGGCGTGTTGTACAACGAGCCACACCGAGGAGAAAGCTACCAGTGACTCAGTTCCGCAGCGAGAACGGACATCTGTGTCGTGTTAGGGTAATGCGATTCTCCTCCCTCCCCTGGTTTGTTATATAACTGTCTGTCCCCTTGTATGATGTTTATAGCCTCTTGCACTCTGAGGAGCATTATAAACAATAAAGAGTCTGTCCCCAAGAGCAGTTGTCATCCGAATGTGTTGGAAGCATTTCATGATGATTGAATCCATCTGGGCTCTTTAGTGTTTTCAGTCCTTTAAAGTGCGGGCTGTGCTCTGCAAAGGGACTGTGCCGCAGCGGCAGCGCGCCAGGTCTGCTCTGCGGGCGCACGGACACAGGTCTGCTCACTGCAACGATTAAAGCAAAGTTTGGGTTGGGATTTCCCCCACCTGCTAACCTCGCGGCGTTAACACTGCTGCAAAGGCAAGAGCTGGAGCCCGTCCTGGCTCTGGCGGCAACAGATTTGTCAAAATGGAATTGCAGCGTTCCCATTCTGCCACGAGTTATTGTTTCTATTCCAGGCACACTCCCAACGTGCTGAATCCTGCAGGCGCTCCCTGGGAAGCAGAGTCCCTGCCCCGGGGTCCCTGTGCGCGAATCCCTGCGTGTGCGACCGGCAGCGGGAGCCGGGC